AAAGAAGCAAAAGTGACATGAGGAAGAACATTTTCACACAAGGAGTGGTTAGGATTGGTAAATCATTTTCTGACAGTGCCAGAGAGGCAGATTCAATCGACACAAAACGGTTTGCGTTATGTTGAAAGTAACAAATCACTGAATCCCTGCTGTGTAAAAACCGGCCCTTGGGCCCAACAAGTCCACATTGCACCACAAAGCATCCCACACAGACCCATCCCCCATAACCCACCGAATGTACACATCCCTGAACACTATGGGTAATTTTAGCATGGCCAATCCACGTAGCCTGCATATCTTTGGATTGTGGGTCGAAACCGGAGTACCCGGAGGAAACCCACGCAGACATGGGGAGAATGTGCAAACTCCACACAGACAGTCACCCGAGGTTGGGATCCACCCCGGGTCCCGGGTGTTGTGAGGCAGCAGTGCTAACCACTGAGCCAGCGTGCCGCCCAAAACGTAGCGTTACAACGAGAAGGCAAGAGAAAGATACTAAAAGAGACAATCATCTGCCTATTGTGGAGATGTGGCACAGATAAGGCAGATTGCATAGCCTCCGTCTGTGTTGTGGCAAATTTTGTGATTCTGAGTGAAATCATAGTTCGACTAAGAGAATGTGGGAACTCAGGCTACGGTCATGTTTACACAGCCGTAACACTTCTGTGCAACAGAAAAAAAGTGAAGATCTTTTGACGTCACACTCGAAGGAACATGCAGCACTCCAGATGAAAAGCTGAATACTTACCTGAAAAGCAGCAGTGGTGGAAGCGAGCAGCAGTGTCGGAAGCGAGCAGGGTGGCGCAGCGGGAGCGTGCTGGGCCCATAACCCAGAGGGCAATGGGTCGAAACCATTCTCTACTACTTGCGACTTGCATGTCTTGTGCTTGGTAGTGCCCTGTGTCATGCAGTTTTTAATCAGCTTCATGCACCTGAAATTCATATCGCATATTAAAGCACTGCTTAAGTTGACACAGGTGAAGTGACTCGCTTGCGATGGTCTGAATCCTGTTCTCGGTCGGTCTGCTATGAAATGAGTCGTGAAACCTCCTCTCTGAGATGACTTGCAGTGTGTCGGTGCCTGGCAGTAATTCCCACGCTGATTCAGACGTGAATGACAAAAAGATCCGAATGTCAGAGACAGCTTTATGAGGACAAATATCACCGATTGTGGAGAGCCACAGAACGATACAAGCGACAGAGAGTCACTGTGGACTCGATGGGCTGAACGGCTTCTTCCCGCACGGGAATGACGCCATGGGTTTATGACGTCACTCCCTCTTTCGGGTGGTAATTCTATTGTTGCCTTGGCAACTATAGAAACAGCTACTTGTCATGAAGCAATGAAAAAACGCATTGTTGGAGTCTGAAACAAAATCTGTTGTTGAACTCTCAAAGGTTGTGTGGTACAGGGAGATAAGGATGATCACAACCAGGAATTAAATCAAGTGTACAAATTTTAAAATGTTGTTTATAAATAGATGCCTTTTGATGGGGGATCAAGTTTTGGTACAAGTGAATATGTGGGCAGCAGAGTTTTAGATGTTTTTCACATTATAGGGAAATTGAACGTGGGAGGCCGACTGGGAGTGTGTTTGGATAGTTAAGTCCAGAGGTAACACAGGATTGGATGAGACTGAGGTGGAATCGGATGATGTCACAAAAGCGGAAATAGGTGATCTTGGTGCGGAACATGGCAGTCACTCTCACCTCACCCCCTGGAATTCAGCTGTTTGTCAATTTGTGAATGAAGTGTGTAATAAAGCCAAGAGCTGAGTGCTCCTTGCGGAATCGAAGCTGGATGTCGCTGAGCAGGTTATTGCTGAGCAGCTACTGCTGGATAACACTGTTGATGACACTTTTCATTTATTTTCATGATCAAAAGTAGACTGATGGAGGGGAAATTGGCCGGGTTATATTTACTCTGTGCTTTTGGTGCTGAACATACCCGGGCGATGTTCTACATTGTCGGTAGATGTCTGTGCTGTAGAGGTACTGGAACAGCTTGGCTTGGCGGGTAGAAGGTTCTGGAGTCATCAGTACTATTGCCAGAAGGTTGGCAGGGCCTG